GGGTGTTACGTCAGGCTTGTAAAAAATGTCCTTTAAATGCGTTGTTGGTGGTTGTCCCCACGAAAGTTAGGTCCATAAGACCCTTTGGTTTCACCAGTTTCCGAAGGAAGAGACTAGAAATAAAGCTGTCCCAGCTTGGCTTAGCCCGCTGATCAATCATTTCTCCCATACCTTCTCTCAACTCATCGTAAATAGGAATGTTAAGTCGTGAATAGAATACTATTTCAAATCCTCTCTTGCATATCATGATAAGCTAAGTAGAGTTCTGCAAGAGCGAATTTATATGATCATCAACTAATCATGATTGATCAATTAATCACGACAGCGCATTTAGTTTCAGTCCGTCGTATACCGGAGCTTTAACTTCACAAACTTTGTACATCGCAATATTTAAACAACCGCAATACTGCAATGTTGCAAAAATGTTGCAAAATTGTTACTAAAAAATAGATTTAAAAAAAAGTGTCAACACCACGGCTTCAATGCCCCCTTCAGAAGGTTTTCATGCATATCGCTATTAGAATGGAAAATCGCTTTCTTTTCCATCGAGACTAACCCGCCCAAAGGAACATATTGCTATTTCTACTATAAGATTTGGAATATATATATATACATGTATATATATGATGAAAAAGTGTTGAGTTGGGAATTTTTCGATTTCAGATTGAAGTTTAGTTTGAAGTTTGAAAAAGTTTCGTGGATAATTTATGCGAATTCATCAAATTTTTAATTAACCAAGCTATACTCTGAAGTTCTGATAAGGAATAATGACACTTTTAATGAGTGCTTTAGTTAGTTCCTCGGGCTATAGTTGCAATTTGGAGAAAGGCGCCAAAAATATTTTCTCCTTGTCACCATTCTCCACGTTAAATATGCTATAGCATTGACTAGGGTGATAACTGTCCTCTTAGGAAGAATTTCGTCGCTTTACAGGGTTTTCAAACGGCTACTTGCTCGAGAATGCAGAAAATGCATTGTTTGAACAGATGAAATTCGCAGTAGTGTCAACAGCTATAATTCGCAGTAGAGCCAACAGATGTAATTCGCAGAAGTCTCGTGATTATGTCAATGTTTGAAGCCGTAGATGCTCGTTAAAAGACATCCTTTTTTTCGCAATACAGCAAAAAATTTACATTTCAACTGCACTCCCCTATAAGTTCTCTGGGGATCCCATTAGCACGGTAGTTGTTAATTTGGTTTGTTCCATATCTCATTTCTAAACAGTATTAACAGGAATCGTTTTAATTCGGCAAAGCCATTTCTAAATCAGTGCGTCTTTTCAGACTTGAACTGTTGGTTCCATAAAGCGAAATTTAAGCATGCTTTGTTTTTGCATTCCGGTTAGACCTTTTTATCAGCCTTACTTCCAATGAAATTCATTTTTTTAAATCTTGACGATAACTTGATTGGGTACCAACCACTAATGTCTCACCTTCCCAGGTAGTTCCAGAAACCTCTGTTATAGGACTGCGGAGCCTTGCGTATTTGTTTCTCGTAATTATTTTCTTTTACGAGTATACATACGGTAAATATTAGCAATTCTTCGTCCAGATGCACAGCTTCAGCGACCTTGAATGAAGATAATTTATCAATGAACCGATACAAAGAACATTTTGTTTGAAGAAGGCATAGCCTATTACCATTATAATTGTATTTCTTTTGCTTAAATGTCATGATTTATCAATTGCATTGTTTCAGATATGATTGTTTGTTTGGCAAGTCTCTCGCCGAAAATAACTAATCAACCGTGCGAATCAACTCCCAAGAAAGATTGAAAGATTGATTCTATACACTCCCAACATACATTTCATATAATTTCGTCTCCAAGAATTTGTATTTCAAACGAGCAATATCTCCTGCCGGATTGATATTTTCTATCTTCTCATCACATTTATGATTGCAAATCTGTTGATATTGTAAAGAGAATTTCAGTACTTAACGTGGATAAAGATCTCTATTGCTTAAGGTAAGATTGCACTGCGCTTTCTCACAACGATTGCTTCTTAGAAGTCATTCAGCGCGTCCACAGAGAAAATGGCGGTTTTTATTCTAGCAGGAGGCTTGCTATTGATGTATATCGTAAATTTTTTGTCGACGAGTCAAAGGACCCTGCTTCCGTTATTTTCATCGATCGATTTTATTGACTTTCTTCAAATAATTAAGTAAGCCAGACAAGACAAGGTCCCTTGACCCATGTGGGCTTGAATTTTAGGGAACACTTTGGTATAGTATAGTATTTCTCATTGGTTCTTAATTATGATCTTTTGGATGACAGATATACATATGACATCACCATTAGAATTCTTTTGCTACTTTATCATTTAAAACAAAGACAGTAGATTAGGCCTTTTGAGAAATATTTCATTGACGACGTCAAAATGTGCTAAGGATATCAGTGGCTGCGCCTCAAGAGTCTTTTTTCTTACCACAATTTGACGTCATCTGTGATCTCTTGCCATCCTCTTTCCCACGCAAGGCGCTTTTCCCGGGATACGGCCGGGAAAAGGCCCTAGCATTGGCCGGTCACGCCATGATCTTAAATATTCATTCAGCACTGATGAATACATTCTTGCGGTTAATCCTGCTTGTTCATTGCTTGATTGAATTTCCTCCAGAATTACATTTTTGCACATTCCTGGGAACGTCGCTTAATTAATTCAATAAATCTCGGTTCGAAACGTCGCCACAGTGGCTCATAAAGGCTGGTATTTCGATAATTAAGCGTATGTATGGAGAAGTCGACTCCCAAAAAAGTCCATGTTTGTAACTGGGTTTTACGGCTTTGCGGTGATGCATACGAGAATAAAGGCAAAGATAGACCGGCACGGATGGACCCTTCCACGGTTTTATCGGCCATATTGGTTAGGGGTCAAACAAAACGTCGTTGCGTAGCAACGAGCCATGGAATCTCTTATGATAAGAAGACGCGCATCGCTCCCTTCGATTAAATTTTCGCTTTGTTCAGGAACAAAAAGTAATATTCATCGCTGAAAAAGAGAAGACATCAATAAAGGCGAGTGACTTTTTCTCCTCTCGGCGAAAAACCTTTTCTTCTCTGCGTTTTATGGGAACATTGAGATCGTTTTTCTTTGGACGTGACCTCGCGGCCGACATAATGCCAGAAGGTCAGAGTACAGCTTTTCCGAATGACTTTTTGTATTTAAGTAACTTAATTGTGCAGAGGAAAAATTGAAATAAATGTGTTTACGTGCTCTTTAAACCTTTTCGTCCAGACAGGCTAACATACTCTTGAAAAACCAATAACTCGGCAAAGAGAAACCCTTGGTTTAATGGGTTTTGGAGATAGGTGTTCTGTCGGCGGCTGTAACAACGATAGAAGAGAACCGAAAAAATGGGTCATCCACTCACGTGTACAGAAGTTATCATTCCACAAGCCCAAGCAATCATTAATTGAAGCATGGTCTCGACAGGTTCCAAAAGGGAAGAAAATATTTCTCAATAGGAAAGTCAAGGGAGTCTGCTCCAATCATTTTCGAGACGGGAAGCCTTCAGTAAGCAATCCAAAACCTACTCTTTTTTTGACTCCTTTTGAGCATTCAAATACTAAGTCACCCAGAAGGCGGCAATTATCAACATCGGTTGATAATAGTGATATCATCGCTGCAAGTGACGAATTGATGAAAAGTGGAGACGATTCCCCAGGGTTCAAACTGTGTACAGCCTCTGCACAAATAACCAGAGATGCTGATGTTCGACTCTATACTGGCATGCAAAATACAGATGCTTTCGGAACCTTATTTGAGTACTTACTCCCACCATAAATCCTAACATTTAAAACTACACAATATCGATGGCTAAAAAACATATTCTAATTTCTCAACCGAAAGAAGTGCTTTTTAAAATGCCATTCTCGCACCATTGCGGCCACGTGGTCACCTTCAAACAACATATCAATCTGCCCATAAAACGCAGTGATAAAAAGGTACTTCGCCAAAAATTCGGCACTTACTTTCAGTAACGCCTTATCTACGTTCCCACTAGATTTGGAGACGAAAATAAGCGATTTTCCCTTCCGACGCGCGTCGAATAATTACAAAAGAATATATTGCTTGTTGCTACGCAACGAGGTTTTGTTTGACCCCCAAACAATATGGCCGTAAAAACCGTGGAAGGGTCTATTCCCCGCGTGGCTTTTGTGGTCGCATCACATTAATGACGCCTTCACTAGGTAGAACGGAAATAACATCTTGACCTTTCAGTAAATACTCAAAAAACTTCACTTGAAGTGGCTGTAAGAAAAATATGGAAAGCTGCAGCGGCTTAGAGCACTTCCGAGACGGCTGAGCGCCGAAGATTTCACACCAAACTCTGCCATCCTGATTTTTATTGTGTTAACTGTCACGTCACAACCTAATTTATTACTATAGATACAGAATACCCAGGATTTTTGGATGCGCACGTGATCGGCCGATGCCAGGGCCTTTTCCCGCGCGCGCCCGTCCCCTCTATGAAGTGAAAAGCGCCCTGGGAACGAGGTTGATCTATGACTGAACAGTGGACTCCCGGCAACATGGAATCTGTCTATCGAATGGAACTCACCAAACTGAACATTTAATTTTCTATTACCGCTTCTCGGTGGCGGTGATCCTCACTCCTGGTTTCTAATCCTGTTCCTCCCTTTCTCTTCGGGTCTCCCTTCCCCATTCCCCATTCCTTGTGCATTGTTCATCATTTGCCGTTCGCCGTTGTCACTTCCTTTTCCCAGTTCCACGTTCTTTATTCTCCGTTCCTCGTTCTTTGTTCCCCGTTTCCCGTCCTTTATTCTCCGTTCCCCGTTACCTGTTGCACCTTCTTTATTCCCCGTTTCCCGTTCCACGTTCCTCGATGTCCGTTCCTCGATGTCCGTTCCTCGATGTCCGTTCCTCGATTTCCGTTCCTCGACGTCCGTTCCTGTTTTTCCTTTCAAGTTTCGATACGGGGTACTGCATACGGGGTAGCGCTCTCAAGTTCAAATAAAGACTAAGTTGGGATCACTAGGGCTAAAAGGTAGCAAATCCCGCTGATGAAAGGTGAGAGAGGGTGTCTTAAGATTGTATGTTTGTTATTTTCCTACAAAATTTAGGGTGGAACTTCTAATTATCGCAGTTATCTTATGGTCATCAAACGACCGCAAGTAAATTTTCATGCAAATTTAGCAAGTATTATGCTGTATTACTATGACAAATATTCAAAAGCAAAGGAAAATGAAAATAATTTAGCCTTTAAACAGTCTCGTTAGCGATTAAATCGCCGTAATTTGGACAGCCATGTTGGTTAAATTCTTGCAGGGACAAATGAATGGAGGAATCGACGCGATAGCTGTATTACGCGTTGCGTTTTATTTACTCGATCATCGATTCTGATTTACAGCTTCCTGGCGAGCGATGCACTGTTATCGTTCAAGTGGTATTTATTCTCCCTCAAAGAAAATACAAGATACACATTTACAAAGTCACTTCCGATCCGAACTAAACCAAGGGCAATTTCAATTCTAACAGGGTTTCCTCTGCTTTCAGTCAACGACGTTTTCGCTGACCGAAGCAGTGTCCTTTACAGAAACTGTAGCGTCTGTAGCGAGCTTCACTTTTTGATTAAATTTAACCATCTGTGTCAATAGTGGATGTTTTGTGGTGAAAGTCGAACTGCACGCTTCATTCGACAATTTGCGCTCGCTGCATCGAAAAATTCAAACAACAGACCACTTTCATAAATGGCTGCGGTATAAATATTCTTTTGGTTAAATACAATGAATATATGAAGTTCATATATTTTGAACTGCGGTATTAAATACGTATGATGCACGACCCTTCGCAGTAGATAGCGCTATTTATGCAATAGCGAAAATCAGACCTGAAAAAAATCACGGGTTTATTACGAATCAACTTAACGGCCTGCTCCCAGTTGGCTTGTTAGCTCAATTGGTAGAGCGCTGCACTAGTATCGCAGAGGTCAGTGGTTCGAATCCCGTACAGGCCTGATTTTTTTCAGGTCTGATTTTCGCTATTGCATAAATAGCGCTCTCTACTGCGAGGATCGTGCATCATACGTATCTA